CCTTTGCAGGCTAGATTTTTATTTTCCTATTTAATCTTTTACTGAGCAGTAGCCTTCTCTACCTTTCAAGTGCCTTAGAGGCACTCCTCTATAGGAAGTATGAAAATGGCAAACCCAGAGAACTAGCTCACAATTCACTGGTGGATTTCTCCAGTGTAACTTCTGCCCTCAGGAAACTTGTTTACTTCTCTAAATTCCTGCTCCCATTTAATTTTTTTCAAGCTTAAGAATTTTCCTTACTCTTTCCAGGTTAATCTATGCAGTTGAACAGTCTCTATCAATCTATAAGATTACCTGGCAAGAGTAAGGAAAATTCTTTATCTAGCACTGTAGGGGTTTAATAATGACTGTGGCCACATGCAGTGGCTCATCCCTGTATTCCCAGTACTTTGGGAAGCCAAGGCAGGAGGATTATTTGGGCCCAGGAGTTTGAAGCCAGCGTGGGCAACAAAACAAGACCCTGTCTCTACTAAATAAACAAATAAGCAAGCAAAACAGCCAGCTGGGTGTGGTGGCACATGCTTGCAGTCCCAGCTACTCAGGAGGCTTAGGTGAAAGGATTGCTTGAGCCCAGGAGTTCAAGGCTACAGTGAGACAGGGTCTTGTTTTATCATCCAGGCTGGAGAGCAATGGCACAATCATGGCTTGCTGTAGCCTCAACCTTTCAGACTCAAGAGATCCTCCTGCCTCAACATCCCTAGTAGCTGGGACTATAAGTCAGTGTTACAACACCCCAGGCTAATTTTTTTTTTTTCTCAATTTTTCAGTAGAGATGAAGCCTCACTATGTTGCTTAGGCTGGTCTCGAACTCCTGGGCTCAAGTGATCCTCCCACCTCAGCCTCTCAAAGTGCTGAGATTACAGGACTGAGCCACTGCACCTAAAACTGCCTTTTTCTTTCTGCTTCTGTATTTGGAGTATACTGCCATATATTAAATTAACAGATCAAGGAACAGGATTAGTCTCGGGGCTCTTGTTACATAGTACAAAATTTAATGATGAAAACTAATAATATTACATTTTAATAGCATCCTGGAGAAAGTTCTATAAATGCTATGTCTATTTTGCTACAGAGAAGTTATCTGTTATTGCAGATTAGAGCTGTTTAGCTATGACCATATCTGGAATAAAACATGATCTCCAGTCTAAGAAAACATTTTCTTTAAAAACTGCTACAAATCTATTTTCAAAATAAAATAAATAATAATTGGGTTAATTAAAAGTATATAAACAGTAGTTTCATTTGATCAATTATACTAATACTTCTACTAAGTTTTGCTTTCAATAAAAACCAGAAACCGACATTTCTAAAACTTTAATATGAAAAAGAACGTAAGTTCTAATCTCTGAAATGTGGAAAGTCATGTAAACATTGCAAATAAAAATAGCAATTTGTTTTCAAATTTTCAACGATCTTTATAGAAATCCCTTATTATATGGAATAAGTATACTCATCCACTCGTTCAAAAATATTTGAAAAACTGCTATGCATAAGTCACCCACTAAGAAAATTTCTGTTTACCCAAATGCTATTTTCCTGGCAATTTTATATTACTGAATTATAGATAACTTAGATGGAATTCTGCCATCTACATGGCAGACGGCAGGAAATATGCCATGATACTATGGCAATATAGATTATGATTTATTATAATATACTTTAGGCAATATAGATTATGATTTAAGTTTAAGCATATAATATTTTTCTGTCACAGACTTCTTCCTATGACAGAAAACCTAACCTGTAGTAAAAAAGGAAGAAGACCATTCACAGATTTCTTCCTGTTTTAAAATTGTTTAACCCAACCTGTAGTGAAACAGGAAGAAGACTATTCTCACATTAAGGATTACTTTAAACTGAACTTGAGAGAATTTACAGAACTTCTATTCAAAATATTTAAAAGTGTGCATGACTTTTTATAAAACACTTAAAAATGAAAAAGAAAAACATATGTTCATATACAAACTTGTACATGAATGTTCATAACAGCATTATTTTTATGTATTTTATGTAGGGTCTTGCTCTGTTGCCTAGGCTGGATTACAGTGACACAATCATGGCTCACTGCAGCCTCAAACTCCTGCTCAAGCAATCTTCCCACCTCAGCCTTCCAAGTATCTGGGATTACAGGCACATACTACCATGCCCAGCCAATTTTTGTTGAGATGGGAATCTCACTATTTTGCCAGGCTATTCTCCAAAGCGGCATTATTTATAACAGCCAAAAGATGGAAACAACCCAAATGTCCATCTCCTGATGAAAAGGGAAACAAAATGTGGTATATCTGTACAATGAAATCATAAGTCACAAAAAGTATGAAGTTCTGATGTGTGCTACAACATGAATGAATCTAGAAAACATTATGCTAAGTGAAAGAAGCTGGTCACCAAGGACTGCATATTTGTATGTTTACCTTTATATGAAATGCCCAGAAGAGGCAAATATATAGATACAAAAAGTCAGTTAGTGGTTGTTTAGGACTGGGGAAGATGGTGAGCTTATTTGGGCATTAATGGCTAAGGGGTTCAGGGTTTCTTTTTGAGGTAAGAAAAATGTTATAAAACTGACTGTGACAATAGCTGCACAATTTGTGAATATACTAAAACCCTGAATTGCACACTTTAAGTAGTGGAACAATACGGTACATGAGTTATATCTCAATAAAGCTGTTACCAAAAAAAAATAAAAGCCACATACAGATAAAAACATGCAGATAAAACAGATATTATAAAGACAATTTATAATATATATCAAACTTAAGAACTTTTGACCAGATGTACAACCACTATTTTTAAGGGAACTGAATCACCACAGAACTGTGACTCTCTTTCCCCTTTGAGTAGATATTGCCTTTGAAACAGGAAACAAAGGTAGGAATAAAGGATACTATTTTGATATTTTGAAAGCATGATTTCCTAGGATAGGGTGGGATAGAGCTTAGATGTTTAAAAAATCTCCAAGTTGACAATTACACTGAATTTCTGACAATAAAATGCTCAGTTGATGGGAATAAACTATTCCTTGGACTTATTCACTGGTAGCTGTAAAGATTGGGCCTATATGGCATGCTAAACTACTCAGGGAGGTTATAAAGAACTTGTATGGCAGAGCAGTAGGCATGAAGGCTCATTACTAAATGACTTAAAGATAGCTTACATAAGTGAATTTAAACACAGGCATGAGGCCAGAGAAGTGACTGGTATTGATTACAGAAACCCAAGAGAAAGGCTTTTTCTCTTGCTATAATGTTTGGCATTTTGGAAGGGATGAACAGATACTCTTATACAGACAGGTGTAATCCATCCAGTCGGGGCTAGAACTCTGAGGTCCCTGACAGTGTGAATCTAAACTGTAGTAGGGAAGAAAAATGGTCTGTCCTCTGAGGCTCTCCCTGGTCTTCCAGCAAAAGAGGTTCTAGGCCTGTTGAGAACGGAAACAAAAAAGACTTAAAGGCCTCCTTTGTACCTTCACCTGATGGAAGAAAAATGACAGAAGCCAGTTCTCACAGCAGCGGTGGCTGCAAGCAACATACTCCAGAGGGAAAGTTGAATAGGAAACATACACGTGACAAGAAGCTGCGTAACTGGCAAGGCCTAGTGCAAAATGGAAATGCAGGGTGCCTTGTTCATGGATGACTCATAATTTCAGAACAGTGACAGCAGAGCATTACACCAAACATGGGGCTTTTCTAAATGCGGGGATCTCTACAACTGCACAGGTCATATCCCCCTTAAGTCAGCCCTGATTCTTGAGCAGCAAGAGCAGTGGTAGCAAAAATTCAGAAGGCAAAGGAAAAGTACAAAGCAGAAAACCAAGATCATGTAAAATCCCACTACTACTAAAATTTTAGTGTATACAAACATGAACATCCACATCCCAGAGATTTTTCTTTATTTTTTGTAGAGATGAGGTCTCACTATGTTTCCCAGGCTGGTCTTGAACTCCTGGCCTCAAGGGGTCCTCTTGGCCTCCCAAAGTACTGGGATTACAGGCATAAGCTACCACGCCCACACAGCTAGAGATTTCTCTGCATACATTTATACATGTAGATATTTTCCACATCCATATATATATACATGTAGATATTTATATTTATCCATATGTGTTGTATATTGTCCATTCTCTTCTGCAGCTTTTTTAAAACTTATTTTGGAGAGCTTTCCAAAATATTGATAAAAGAAGATCATTTTAATACATTATATATATTATACAACATATAGATCCATGTTCCATTTAACCAAAGCCCAACTGCTGGGTTTCTAAACAGTCTTAGGTTTTTCATTATTACAAATTATGTGCATTGAGTATCAATAGACTTGAATGAAATTGAATAAGACAATCAATATAAAGTCCTCCACAGAGTACTTGGCATGTAACAAGCACTCTTGCAATGTTAGTAGTGATTTTTTAAAAAATATTTTGTCCTTGCTGCGCACAGTGGCCCACGCCTGTAATCCCAGCACTTTGGGAGGTCAAGGAGGGTGATTACTTGAGGTCAGGAGTTTGAGACCAGCCTGGCCTACAAGGTGAAACCCCATCTCTACTAAAAATACAAAATTAGCCGAGTATGATGGCAGGTGCCTTAAATCCCAGCTACTCAGGAGGCTGAAGCAGGAGAATCGCTTGAACTCAGACAGCAGAGGTTGCAGTGAGCCCAGATCATGCCACCACACTCCAGCTGGAGCTAGACTCCAGCTCATAAAATATAAAATAAAATAAAAATAAATAAATAATAAAATAAAATATAGTGTCCTGTGTAAGGTTGAATTTACATTCCCAACAGCAGGGTAAAAGGGACTGATTTCCCTAAATCTTTGCCAATTCTTTTAATTTTTGCCTTTTATGCTTCTTCTATGAATGGTCTGTTCATGTTCTTTGACAGTTCTCCTAATGGATTCCTCATGCTTTTTAAATTTTAATTTCCGTATTAGGGATATCAATCCTTCATAATAGGAATAACAAGTACTTTCTATTTTCCTTAAAAACAATTAAGACTTACCTCCAGTTCCTAGGACCTTCAGAAGCTCAAAATTTTCTATCCCCACCTTCTCTGCATGTCCTGTCAAATTAGCTAAAAGAAAAAAAAGAAAGAAAAAGGAAACAATTAGGGTCAGCAAGAGAAGAAGGTTCCTGGGGGCTTCTCGGCACCATCGATTCTCCATTTCCTGACTTGAGTCATTAACCAGGGTTTGCGTCACATTATTTGTTAAACGGTACACCATATTTTGCATAAACTTCTGTATGTTATACATTACAATAAAACCCTTTTTTGGAATTTAGGAACTATATATATCATTTGTACCAAAGATTAACATAAATGAAAGTGTTCTCTACTGACCAATATACTCCAAAAATACATAAAAATTCTAACATATAGATAGATAGATAGATACATAGTGGGAAAAAAAACTGAATGGATTGAGAAGACATATTAATTTATTCAACAAGCATTTACTGAGTATCTATTAATGCCATCCCCAGGTTCTAGACTGGGCGGTAGTTCCATTTCTGCCACTAAATACTCAGACACAATTTAGCATGCATTCATCACTTGAATACTCTATGTCTCCATTACCACATCTCTGAAATGAAAGTGTTGGTCTCAGTGAACTCTAGGATCCCTGTCAGCTCTAAAATTCTAGGACTATGTTTAAAAATATAAACTCTTCAAAAATGTATTCTGTCTTGAATAAATAAAATTAGGATATCTTATAAATAGCCATTTTCCATAACATATTCCACTGAATTCTAGTCCTATCCTATGAAATGTTAATAGGTGTTATGTTTGGGGGAGACGTGGGGAGCAGAGTGCTTTGGTAGAACAAATGTGGAAATGCCTGGCTTAAAGGTAAACGATTTCTTTGCTGCTGGACCTTACAGATCCTGTATTATGAAATACGCACATAGATAAGCAAGATTAAGATACTACATTTGTTGATGTATTTAACCACAAAATTATGTGAACTAGTGCTCTGTAGAAGTGGTTAAGAACGGCTTGATCCAAATCCTAGTTATGTCACTTAAAAGCCCGTGACAGGTAGTACGACTACGTCAGGCCGGAACCATGGCAGTGACCAAGAAGCTCTTACAGATGGACCTGTACGGGCTGCTAGGCATTGAGGAGAAGGTGGCGGACAAAGAGGTGAAGAAGGCATATAGACAGTAGGCCCTCCCCTGCCACCCAGACAAAAATCCAGATAATCCCAGAGCAGCTGAACTCCTCCACCTGCTTTCTCAGGCCTTGGAGGTGCTGACCGATGCTGCAGCCAGAGGTGCATATGACAAGATCAGGAAAGCCAAGAAGCAGGCAGCAGAGACCACCCAGAAACTTGATGAGGAAAGGAATAAAGTGAAGCTTGATCTGGAGGCCCGAGAATGGCAGGCCCAGGCCCAGGCCCAGGAGACTGAGGCAGAGGAGGAGGAAAGCCAGAGCACCAGGACACTAGAGCAAAAGAACAAACCCCTGAGAGAAGACGGTTGCCGGCAGCTGGAGGAACAGCAGAGGCTGACCCGGGAGCAGATACAGGAGCATGATCAGAGACTGAGAGAAAGACAGAAAATACTGAAGGCCAAGGAGTCCGCAAACTAAAGCTAAAATGGAAGTGCAAGAAGGAGGATGAGTCAAAAGGTGCTCCAAAGACGTCCTTCCATGGCTTTTGCAAAGGTATGGCGAGGTTCTCAACCTGGTGCTTTTCAGTAAGAAGGCAGGCGCTGTTGTGGTAGAGTTTGCGACCGTCAAGGCTGCGGAGCTGGCTATCCAGAACGAAGGTGGCCTGGTGGATAGCCCTCTGAAGATTTCCTGGTTGGAGGGAAAGCCCCAGAGCACCGTGGGTCACCCAGGACTGTCAAAGGGCTCAGTGCTGTTGCAGAGGGATGAGAGCCTCTTCGTGATGTGCACCGCAGGTATGCAGCCAGAGGGGCCTCCCACATAGCCCCAGGGTTCCAGCCACCCATCCCCCAGCCCTTTTCTTCAATGTCACCAATAAAAGTTAAAAAAAAAAAAAGGGTGACACTGAACAAATTACTTGTCTGTGTCTCAGATCCCAATTATGTAAAATGGATCCTCAAAGCATACTGATATCTGCAATTTGCTTTGAAATGCATTTTTTAAAATAAGATAAATTTATAAATAAATATAGCTATGAACAGATATGTCAAAAGCAAATACAACAAAATATTAATTGTAGAATCTAGGTAGTAAGTATAAGGGTATTCTTTCAATTCTTTCAAATTCTCTGTATAAAATGACAGAAAACAAAATGATACCTACCACATAGAATTTAATGAGGATTAAATGAGTTAAATTTATACAGAGCTTGCTGTGTGCCAATAAGCAGTATTATAAGTGTTTGTAAATATATTAATGCTTTGGGACTCCAACTTGAAAAAAATAAAACTAAGAACTTCTAGAATTAAAAGTTTTGGGGTATAAATAATTTCAGTGTCTTTCCAAAGTTTAAACTCATAATTTAAAATTTTTTTAACTTGTGGTCAAAAATACATAAAGTTTACCATCTTAACCATTTTTAAGCATATGGTATTGTTAACCATACATACATTGTTATGCAACAGATCTTTAGAACCTTTTCATCCTGCAAAATAAACTATATCCAATGAACAACAACTCCCTTTTTCCTTCTTCTTTCAGCCCTGAGAACAACCATTCTATTTTCTGTTTTTAAGAGTTTTATGGATGGGCGTGGTGGCTCATGCTTGTAATCACACCACTTTGGGAGGCCGGAGGCTGAGGCGGGCAGATCACAAGGTCAGAAGTTTGAGATCAGCCTGTCCAGTACGATGAAACTCCATTTCTACTAAAAAAAAAAAAAAAAAATTCAAAAATTAGCCAGGCATGGTGGCGCACACCTGTAGTACCAGCTACTCGGAAGGCTGAGGCAGGAGAATCGCTTGAGCCCAGGAGGTTGAGGCTACAGTACACTGATTGTGCCACTGCACTCCAGCCTGGGCGACAGAGTGAGACTCCGTCTCAAAAAAAAGCAAAACAAAACCAAAAAAATAGTTTTACTATTAATGTAAGATTTTATAGTAAGAATAAATCAACGATGTACATGGCCCAGCCAAGAGTTCACATTGGCATCAATACAAATCTAAAATGAACACCAAAAATATAGGTAGTACTTTAAAATAAACACATGATAGCTTATTTTTCTCTAATATGTCAAGTAGATTATATAAAAAGCCAAACTCAAAAGAGATAACCATTTTTAAAATAATTATTTGGCTTTCTTCTAATGTTAAATTCTATTCTTTTATTATGTAAAAAAGCTTAAGACATTATTAAAGAGTCATGTGTTAAAAATAATTACTCCTGGTTCTTACTATTAGGACTCATTTTTTATTTACTGAGAAATGTACAAGCCCAGCTTTCCAAAAGCATTGTTCATATACTAGATTATATCTATATTTATATTTGCATTATATTTATATATTACTTACCTATATTTGCTGCTACACTAAGAAGATAAGGAATTATTTGTTGATACACATTAGCTTTCTCAGGAAATTAAAAGAGGCTATGAATTAATTACACTTTCTTTTGCAAAGTATACTACCTAGGAAACCCTAGTCATTCACAAAGATCATTCAGATGATCTGTGAAGAGCTGTTTTTGTTCATAATCTACTACCTTTATTATTTTGTTTCTGACATAAATTAACACTTTGCCTGCTACAGGAGCTCAAGCCTCCTATCCCCAGGGCTCAAGAGGAAGGGTTTCAGTGTCTTCTGTACTCAGGGTAGAAGGTGTCCAGGTGATGAGAAGCAGCTCAAGGTATGTTCTCTTTGGTTCCTGCTCTCATTAGTTTAGCAGCTAAGAGTTTTGTTTACTCTTTATATTGCTTTTCCACCCATACTGTTCCCAGGTGGCTAGTTAAGGCAGAGCTTGGAAGAGGTTCTTCTCTCTTCCATACCTCAAGCCCTAGGCCTTAGGCAAACTAAAGAATGCTGGTCTTGAAAAGAGCTTAGCAGGCCAGGCGCGGTGGCTCATGCCTGTAATCCCAGCACTTTGGGAGGCCGAGGTGGGTGGATCACGAGGTCAAGAGATCGAGACCATCCTGGTCAACATGGTGAAACCCCATCTCTACTAAAAATACAAAAAATTAGCTGGGCATGGTGGCGCGTGCCTGTAATCCCAGCTACTCAGGAGGCTGAGGCAGGAGAATTGCCTGAACCCAGGAGGCAGAGGTTGCAGTGAGCCGAGATCACGCCTCACGCCATTGCACTCCAGCCTGGGTAACAAAGAGCGAAACTCCATCTCAAAAAAAAAAAAGAAAAAGAAAAGAGCTTAGCCCTGGGCTTATGAAGAAAAACCACTCTCTTCCATCTCAAGTTTCCGCTAGGGTTTAGATTTCTTGGAATTTTCTTGCTTGAGAACGGCAAGATTCCAGTAAACAATCTTAAGAGGTATCTGCGTAGGGCAAAGGAACAAGTAAATCCTTAAGCAGGTCCATGTGGTCCAGCCCAGCTCACCAAGGTCAAGGTTTCAGTTTGGGGTATAGAACCAAAGATGAAGTGTCAAGAAATGTTAAGTTTCTGAATATTGATATTGAGAAATGTTAAGTTTATGAATATTGATGAATCCTGAGTGTTTGATAAAATATATTGTTTGCTAGGAAGAACGATGTCAAGGAAAACCTAACCAGCCCTCCCAAGTAGAAAACTAGTTAGGGCATTCCAAAGTGGCAGGACAACGTATAAATATCATAAACCGGTTAAAACAATTCTTTAAGATATCTGACCCTGCCCCCCGGCTCCCTCGTGGAGAATATTAAATTTGTCTGTAATCAGTGGTAAGCAGGCACCAGCTGCCTACTTGGCATATTTTGTGTTAAGAGAAAATACCAAACATCTGTTTGTTTGTTTGTTTGTTTGTTTGTTTGTTTTTGGGACGGAGTTTTGCTCTTGTTACCCAGGCTGGAGTGCAATGGCGCGATCTCGGCTCACCGCAACCTCCGCCTCCAGGGTTCAGGCAATTCTCCTGTCTCAGCCTCCTGAGTAGCTGGGATTACAGGCACGCGCCACCATGCCCAGCTAATTTTTTGTATTTTTTTT